TGTGCTTCCTTTGCAGTTTGTGCTGTGAAACCAAACAGTGTTTCCTTTGTGTGATAACAAACGTCAGTCGCTTGTGTTGTTACACTCATTGCTCAGAGTGTGTCGGCCCCGCCCTCTTTTCTCTCTGCGTGTCTCTTTACCTCCATTTTTTTTTGTTTGTATGCTCACATTATCCAGTTTGCTTTTATCCTGTTTGCTGCTTCTCGTGTGATTAGTGTGTGCACAGTAGTTATTAAGTGAAAATATAGATGTGCATTGCAATTACAGCATAATAAAACAGAGCAGTGCTGATGATTAGTGCTGGAGGAGAATCAGTGCAGCGCACTCACAGAGAATAAGAAATAAAAGAAAACAAATGCCAAGGGGGGCATTAGGAAATCAAGCAGAGAAAAACACAGCATTGGTATTCGCAGCAGACTCACTTGTGTACTTTCATCCTTTAATACGCGTCTGCCACTTTTTTTCCCCAGTTCTTCTTCTTCTTTGTCTTTTGTCCTCTTTCTGCCATCTGTCCAGGCACTAGTCTTTTCCCAGACGTGCTATTAAAAGAGAGGTAGTTCTTTCACCTGCTGCCCCCAAGCACTGCTTTGCCCTTCTGTTTCATTTCCTGTGCTGACTAAGAAGAATCCGCCTCTTCCATCTTTAATTCTGTTCAAATCCTTCATCTTTAGACGATTCTGTGTTTAGTTCGGTCTTTTCAAGCTGTATCGTTTCATTTAATGCCAAATCTGGCAAACTAAAAATAACACCAAAATAGTTCATTCCAAACTAGAAAATATCTCTTTATTTATTTTGTGTTACAGAGTTAAAACAGCACTTTATAAAAAGTCTTCTCAGCTCAGCCCAAGACTGCTGAAGGTTCTTCATTTGTCAAACTGTTGTTGGCTGAATATTGAAAAAAAGCTTCAGAGCTTTGGAGAAATAAACTGAGAAATAAGTTTTTGTCCTTTTATTAGTGACTTGAACCGATCTAGACTCAGAAACAATTTGCTCTTTCACTTCAGTTCAGCATGAATCAGAAACAATGGGAGACTTCAAAGAAACAAACAGGAAGCTGATGCAACCTGAGCCTCTGTCTCAAATCGTGTTAATGTTGTCGCCATCAGTGCTCACACATGCACCGCTTTCAGCACTTGACACACTTATTGGACAACAACAGCTGATGACTTTTGAAAAATGAAGAAGTTGGATGCTGCAGTGTGACCCTGAGGTTTGTCAGAGGCTGCGGTTCATGTCAGGAAGCTTTGTTTATTCAGGAAGAGATGGTGGTTTGGCTGCTTCACCACAGCAACTCTGCACACTGACTAATCTTTCTTACCCAGTGCATTAAAATGTGTCGTGAACCGGTCCTTAGGCATGACGGATGAATCGCTCGGTATCACTGTGAAACTTGTGGCCACAACACCAACATGAAGCGAGACCATGTGCATCACAGCAGCTTGTACAAAAGCGTTTGGTGCAGTAAAACTGGACCAAAGAGAGGATTCACTGTGTTCAGTTTCTGCTTCGTCCATCTGAAGTAAGGCTTTCCTCCAGCTGCTTTTATTTGTCTAAATCAAAAGCAAAAACAAACAGGTCAAAAGTCTTTAAGCCTCCAAAATGATAGTTTGGACCAGAAGACTACAGCACATTGATACAGACAAAACTTTCAGATGTTTGTGTGGTGCAGACAGCAACCCAAAAACGACTTTCAGTTTCTGTCTCACCACACAAACCTGATGCCAGGCTCACAGCTCGTCTTCCCAGAGCCGCGGAGTAATTGTGTGTTTTATGTGTCACTGCTTTCATCTGAAGTCACGCTGAACAGCGGCTCCGAGACTCGGCTGGAAGACCGAGGAGGAGGCTTAAATTCCTACACTGTAGAGACTTGTAAGAAGTGATACCTTAGTTAGTTCCTGTCAGCGATGAATGAAATGACTGCTGAAGAATGCCCTTGCCCTCCTCCAAACACACTTAACGATACACCTCTTGAGACATGTTATAACCCGAAAGAAATATTCTCCTTTACATCTGCAGGATAAGTAATTGGGTGCCACGGGCATCAGCGACACACGTTAGATCTCACGTATAGAGACGCAGCAGCACTGAGCCAACTATGTGTCAGATTTGTGCTCATGCTTGAAATCAATGCTCGTGTTTCTTCCTGGGAGTAAAATGGTTATTCTACTTAATCCACTGTTAGGGCGAAGCATCGAGGCTCTGTTTTTATAATCGGTATGCATCATGGCTGCGCTTTTGTATGTCAGTGTGTACTGATAAGCTTTATTTGTTTAAGGAAAACATGCTGGGCAAGTATGACCCTGTCTCTGGTCCCTGCTTGCTTCATTTGTTCCCACATTTTAAACCTTGGAGATCCTCCCCGAATGACCCTCCAGGGTTCCTGATGGGTTTTACGTCTGCTTGAATCCTGTTGCTAGTAGGAAGAAATTAAAAGCCACTCATCAGTGAATATCCTTGAGCCATTTGTAACTTTTTCTGCCAGTTGGTGCCGGGCAGGTAGCGCAGGGTGGATTTATGGTGCTTGAACCTTTGAGTCTAAAACATTTAATAAATGCACCACAAAACTGAGCAAATATAAAGAGGCCATTCCACAGAGCTGCACAGATGGTGGTAATTACATGTGATGAAGCCACCGTGAGCGACCCCCGTCACAGTACACATTCAGAATGACACAAGGGGCATGTCAGTATTTTTAATTAAGCTTTTAAACATAGAAGGGAGAGCCTCTGTGTCCCAGAGGCAAAGGATGCTTCTGCATTTAATCTTTTTGGATGACACTCCGTATTTCTCCTAATGCTAAAACATGGAAACACAAAATCAAAGTTTAACACAGCACCATACGGCCATCTGTAGCCTGGTTTCAATTAAAGGGAAAACCTGAACCTCTGACCCTTACACTGATGTCACCTGGTGGCCTCTTATGATGTGAGGGCATGGTGCTTTCTCCACTTTGATGAAAGGCTCACTGCTAATTAATAGAAAGCTTCTCTGAGCAGAGGCACTTGTGTCCTGATGACAGTGGCCTCCTCTATCCAGAGCACACCGAGCTCGGTGAACAGCCTGATGAGACGAATGTGAATCATATGCTTGGAGCGTCACAGTCACCTCATCTCAACCCAGCTGAAAACCTTTTTAAGAGTTTTTTCACTGATGCTTTAGACACAGATCTCCAGCACTATCTTCAAAACATCAAATCATGGGAAATGCACTATAATGCACCTACACATTACACCTACAGGAGACCCGTGCCATGAAGCTCCTGGTGCACAGTGATTCAGCTGATATCAATGCCAGATGGTGTTTGGAGACTTTTAAACACCTTCCTCTGTTGCTTTAAATGATCTGCTTGTTTGTAGCTGCTGTTTTTCCTGAATTCTTCCAATTTGTAAGAATTCCACTTACAGTTGATGGTGAAATATCTTGCTGTTAAACGTGTATGCAGAGATGTTAGCGGCTGCTAATAGCAAGCTAGCTGGTGGGCGTGGTATTCATCGCCGTGGGGCAGACATTTGGATTCATCTACTTGCTTCGTTCACGCTGCATTGACGGTTGGTTTAGGGGTGTGCTGGCATTAAGATGCAGGTGCAGTCACCTGTTCGTTTACCTGGTATTGATCAGTGCTGGCCAGGGTGAGCTCGAGGCGACAGAGTTCGGTTGGCTGTAGGTTGAGCAGTTTCTATCTGTACATGAGCACACGCCTGTTAAAACTGCAGTGCAGGGATATGGAAATAAAGAGTAGCTAACAGTCTCTGAAGTCCCTCACAGTCTTTCTTCTGTGCATCGTGTTTATTTTTTCTTACACTGGACAGTTATCATCTTCTTATAATATATTGTTGACTGTCCAATAAAATATAGAAACCTGCTGTAAGTGTATGAATGCATCATGTAAATAGTAGCTGCAGTTAATCTTATAGCAGCTGCTAACCCACAGTAACACTACTCATGAACTGTAACATGATGGGATGTCTTCATTCACATTTAGCATGGGATTTTTGTGAAGTGCAATGTTATCATTAAAAGAAGCACTTAAATTTCAAAAAGTTATATACTCTGATTTTCTTTGAACATCAGCCACTGGATGGAAAACTAAGTTTTAAAGAAAAAGTGTGAAACAAACTTGGATCTTGATTCTGTCAGTGAAAGGGGACATCCTTATTACATCATCTCAGGCATAGAAGCCACACCCACCTGCTGTTCAAATGCTTTGTGACCGACAGCCAATCAGTAGAAAGTTGACTTTAAAGGAGCGGGTGCTGAAAGCAAACAGAGGATGAGGGGCTGCAGAGAGGTGATGAAGCTACACATGTTCCCACTGGGAAACTCCCCAGTATAGCGTCCCTCTTCCAGTGGATCTGCTGGGAGTTTTAGGTGCCATATTCAACTCCGGTTTGAAGCAGTTTGGAGGCTTCTTGAATTCAAACCCAGCACCCTTAACGATTGCAGTATTTCCCATCGAGACCCAAACTCGGCTTTCCTCAGCTCCGTGTGAAAGATAATTGGTGGACAGAAATATGTCTGTTTCCTAATTTGCTTGGCCTTTGGCTCACTGTGTGCTGCACTGGCTTTTGTAAATGAACTGCTGTTTCCTCATTAGAGTCAGGTCTGTTTTATCACCCAGTAAACTGTTGAGACAAACAACAGAGGGGGCTGTTATTTTTCATCTGCTAAAACGAAGCGCCTCGCTCCTCTAGGGTTTAATTATACTGTGTTGGACTGAATTAGAATTAATGAAACACTTTGTAATACTTTGGGACAGAAGCTGCACATCAAACTGTCCTACTTTTACCAGTGCAGATTTATCACGTATGTGCTGTAGGCTGCCGTGGAAGTTTGGGATCCTGTTTATAGTCTCAGTCACATGTTAGGCAGAAGGATAAATGTTTTTGTGGTCCGCCATCATGGCGGGAAACCTTCCTCTGCTGATTTAGCTTTTCAAAGTCCAGAGTTTTCCTGTTTTCAAAATCTTTTCTAAATTCCTGTTTTCTTCTTGTGATTTTAAGCTGAAGCGGGATTTATGTGTAAGACTCCAGCCATAGCCGACATCGTGATCCTGGTAGACGGTTCCTGGAGTATCGGGCGGATCAACTTCAGGCTGGTCAGGACCTTCCTGGAGAACCTGGTCAAGGCGTTTTCAGTGGAGATTGACAAGACTAGGATTGGTGAGAAGATTTCTGGTTTTTGGAGGATGAAGTCTGAGCCAGACTGGAATCTGTTATTAAGTTACTGTTAAATATTACTACCTAAGTGTAGTTTAAATTCCACTCTTACTTTTGCACGCAGGTCTGGCTCAGTACAGTGGAGACCCCAGGATCGAGTGGCATCTGAACGCTCACACCACTAAAGAGTCTGTAATCGATGCTGTGAAGAATCTGCCATATAAAGGAGGAAACACACTGACAGGTGCGAAGCCAAGCGAAACCCCAGCCTCCCACTGGTTATTATGGTCTGCTCTCCCCATCAGAGTGAACAGATAATGCTCAGAGGTGCACTTGGACCAAAGCCCGTCCTTTTGCCCGAGCTTATTAAACTGAGGGGAGCTCATTTTGGATTAGTCTTCAAGTGTTGGTGACCTTGCCGCCTTCGGCTGATAAGAGCTGAGTGTGAATCAGAAGGTCGGCTAGCTTTCTAAAGTCTCAGCATCACTTTTAACGGACAGTAGAAGGAAATAAATAAAGACATTCACCGATATTCAGGACAAGATTGGTAAAGCAGGAATGCAGCACATGCTGTTATTTGAATAATAGTTATAAAATGAGTCTTTTTGTGTTTGTTACTTAAACCAGCAGAAACATTTCATAGAAGTATGACTTCATCCAAGAATTCATCAGGATGTTCTTGGACTAAACAACCATCACCTCTACCAACAGGCACTTTCATTTGTTTCGTGTTGTTCTGGGAAGAGGGGGAAACAGTAAATTAAAGAATCTAAAAACTGAATTATACAAAAATGAATCCACGTGGAAAGCATCACTAATGAAGCAGAGGGTCCCGGCTGTCCACAAGATTCAAGACGAAAGAATAATCAGCATTAAGCTGAGTTTCTAGTAGCTGTCCAAAAGCTGCCTGAGGTAAACTTTCAGTCCCAGAGCAGATTTTATTGGTTATATCAATGAAAGGCCAAGAGTCATGAACATCAGGCATATTAAAACATACGATACCTAAGCACGTGTACGTCCGCACAGGCTGACTCAGGGTTCAGCATCTCGCCCATGTGTTACTGCGCCACACGGACAGGAGGAGCCAGGATTGGATGGAGATGACCTGCTCGGGCTTAGTGAACATCACAAAACAGTCAATATCATTAAATGCAAACTGACTGGACTTGAGTGGGCGTCTTCCTCGTGCACAAACTTTAGTTATGGAGTTGTGAGCAAAGACTGATGCATTTCCATCACCATCCAGATGATGTGCAGTTACATTTCTAAATTATGAGTTTGACCCTAGAAATCTCTGGAAGGTTTCATGTGTGGCTGCCCTCCGGTCACGTTGTAAATACTATTGTTTTGCTCTTAAATTAAAAAAACCAAAGAATTATGACAGCTTTGTTTTATCTGACAGAATATTCACAAATAGGAACATTCAGTCTCAGTTTGGGCCTAAAAATCTCCCCCACTGATCTGACACTTGTAGACTGAAATTGTAATATAGTCTGAAGGCGTCCTGATAGCTCACTGTGAAGCCTTCACTTTATCTGTTATTCTGATTGGAGAGTACAAACAGGGTCGAAAAAGAAAACACGTTTCTCCCCAGGGATTTATCACAGACGTCCACCCTCCCCGACCCTCCTCGTGGTTTTGTTTTTGTTGATAGGGAATCATTGCAGGGTCTTTACCGTGAAGTATGGATCACCTTGAGACAGGCTGTTGCAATTTGACCCTCTTTAAATAAAATGTAATTGAACTTCTTGTGTTGCTAATGAAACTGATCTATCGCTCGAGGGAGCAGCAGGACTTTAACAGTCTGTTAGAAGTTGAAGAAGACGTCTGTAATGTCGTTAATGGACACAGCTGAACTCAGCTGCTCATTATGTTATCAAGCTCATTAGACAAAAACCTTGTTGAGCTAATAAGGCGCTCTATAACAATCATTTTCAAGTCTTTGATTGCAACTCTTGAGGCTACGTCTCGGCTCAGAGGCATTTATCTGTCCTCGCTACACCTCAGTGGGAAACTTTAAGTACACTCAAACTGTCAGCCAGGACGTAACTGTTGCTTTAAAAGTGCAGACGATAAACGGCTCGAATCTCCCGCACTTTATCCAACTCATGATAGATTTAATATGTATGCAGAAGTATGTTGTAGTAAAAGTAAACCATGTTTTTATGGTTTTCCTACATTTAATGTTTTTGACTCGTCAGCTTTGCTCCACGCAGCAGGAAAGCTGAATGAAAACAACATTTTCTTCATTGTTGTGACTAAAATGTTCACGTTTTCTACACGAATCTGTGAAATTCAGCTATATATCACTAAGTGACATTTACAAGGTTTTTGTTGTTTTTTTTACTGGTTTGTGCCCAAATTTGGGACTTTGGGTCTTTTTTTTATATTTCAACTAGCCAGTACTTTTGTTCCCAAATTACAGATCCTGGTTTAACGGTTTTTGAGATATTTATGTTTGAATATTGCTTCAGATTTCAATGTGTGAAAAAAATATCTGGTTTTCAAAAGATATTTGATAAATGAAGCAAAATTTCCACAGCACTCAATATCTAAGTCCAGACTTTCGAGTATTTAAACCAATCGCAGACGGCCGAGGCTGCGATGATTCCAGATCAAATGGCTCCTCTTCTTATTTTTATTTCAGCATCTTCATGTTTTCACTTTATCTTTGTTTGAATCCGACCAGGTCTGGCTCTGACCTTCGTCCTGGAGAACAGCTTCAAACCCGAGTCAGGCTCCAGACCCGGTGTTCCCAAGATAGGAATCCTCATCACGGATGGGAAGTCCCAGGATGATGTCATACCCCCAGCGCAGAGCCTGAAGGATGCTGGGATAGAACTGTTTGCCATTGGTATGACAGCACTAAATGCTCCACACACCATGGACTCGGCTGTTGCTCTGCTACACGTGCAGCTGGTTGATAGCAAACACAGAGCACAATGATACATCTGTCTGTATGTGTTGAAATGGTGCAGCTCCTTTGGTTCACTGAGCTCTCCTTCATATAAACCAGCTGATGTCTTTAAAGATTCACAGTTTTTCCTTTGGAGTTTTCTAGGCTGAACTCTGTTTTCTTCTTCAGCACAGTCACAGCTTAATTTCAACATTTCCGCCGTTCTGTGTTTGTGCTGAAATAGCAGGTTATTAATTAACTGACAAAAATTGAATAAAAGACCTTTAATGATATTTGCAGATATTCATGAGGCAAGAACAGCAGGCAGCATCTTAGATTCATGCTGATGCTTCTTGTCTTATAAATATTTTTAATGCATTTCATTTCGGACTACCCCTGATGCTATGCTACCTTTGGACTCAGTCTGTTGCTCTTGTCAGCCTTCAGCTTTAGCTTGTAGTTTCAGCAGGGGGAAAGTTTAGAGATGGAATAAGAAACCCTGTTGCAGACAGCGCATGTCACAGCCTGGCGAATAGTTTTGCTGTTGTAGATGAAGTCCTGTGTATATATTCATGTTCTGGTTGCGTCATGGAAAACTTATTTCCAACACCTTTCATGTCACCGTTGCTGACAGTCGGATCACTCGGTTTTCTCTCTCCTCTCTCTCCAGGTGTGAAAAATGCTGATGAGAATGAGCTGAAGGCGATTGCCTCACCTCCAGAGGAAACTCACGTTTACAACGTGGCAGACTTCAGCGTGATGAGCGACATCGTGGAAGGTCTCACCAAGACCGTTTGCGACCGCGTGGAGCAGCTCGACAAGAAGATCAAAGGTCTGAAGAGCAGCAGGAATCAGCAGAGTCAGAGATGATACCGCGAAGATGCTGCTGTTTGCATCGCTGTTGCTTTGTTGATGCTGTTGGTTATAAAAATAACAAGACCACTTCCCCACCAAATATATTGCAGCCTTGTTATCTTTGTAATGAAATGCCCAGAACGTTGTGCCGCATAAACACAGATGTGGCTTCAGATAGCAGCAGAGATGTTGCAGTTTATTACTTTCAGAGTCACTTTGCACACACAACAGGATCATTTCAGCTCTCGCAGGCTGGTCTGACCCGAGTTTCACACGTAATAGAAGAAAAATCTCTGCTTTCTTTATTATCTGCAGGGGGGGCGGAGCCTGCCCCGCCGCCAGCCGTCGTGGCTGCACCTCGTGACCTCGTGACCTCGGAGATAACTGCTCGTAGTTTCCGGGTGACATGGACACACGCATCGGGTCAGGTGGAGAAATACCGAGTGGTGTACTACCCTGCCAGTGGGGGGCAGCCAGAAGAAAAGGTATGTTACTTGTTTTATTGTTGGTCCGTTAGTATTTTAATCATTTTCATTTATTTTTGGAGTTTTTCATGCCTGAAAGAAACACACTTTTTCTTGGCGATTAATGCAAATCATGCAATTTTCAAGAAACTACAAATAGTGCTCTTTATTTTTCACTTTTAATTTTCAGCTTCCATCATAGTTTTTCCACCACAGCGAACGGCCCTGCTTTTATTGTAATTGTGCAATAAAGTCTAAACTACTGTGTGATTGTTAGGCGGCTCATCTGGCTTTCTGGCTTCTTATAACTGACTGAAGGGAGCGCTTTTCTTTTGTCCCCTTAATTAGTGGAACTTTGGTCCTGATTCGCCTCCACAGAGCAAATAAAATACAAACTGTCTGTGATGTAGTGGCAGCATTTTAATTAAAGCTGCTCGGCTAATCCTTTTAAGGGTCACTTCCAGAAGTTAAGTAATTTCTCAGAGTGATCTGCACGATAAATGCCAACAATTATGCAGGATTTGCAGTAAGGGAATAATAAAAGCGAGCACTCTCGTATGCTGTGGTAAACTATATTCTGTTATTTTCATTATTTGCCATTAGCTGTGGAAGATGTGAAAAACTGGAGCACTGATGTGTCTTTTTAATCGGTGTCCTTAACTACAGACTTCCACTGACTTATTCTGTGACGTAGGTGTTTTCCCATGTGCGGAAATGTCCGGATAATACATTCAAACTTTGTTTCCATACCTATATCACCACGCAGACATGCAGTGCTGTAATTTTCCAAGTTTATATTTATGCTCCTGCAGTTCCTTCTTATTTTTATCCCATTTCTCTTTGATGTTTATTACAACTTGCAGCTGGAACGGCCCAGTTTCCCCACAAGGAAAACTGAGGTTTCATCAAAGCTAATCTGATCTAGTTACACTCAATTTAAATCTCTTTGGAGAGAGCTGAATGCCTGCAGCAACATGTGGTGCTTTTTTCAACCTTGTGATATGCACTCGCTTAATAAACAGAAGATTTTTTTCTGTATTTTAATGCTTTTTGACAAACAAAGTTCTGCTGTCTATTACAAAGACATGAAGAGCTCTAATTTAGAGCAAATTAAGATTATTTTAATCCCAGCTGTATCAGACAGTTATGTCCCTGAGAGCACAGCAGAAATGAATGAGCATCACAAGCAAACGTACTTGTTTAGTGTGTCTGACTGACTGGCTTATCTCATTCCAGCATTGTACACTTACTGCACTTGATAACACTGCTGTGATATCCAGGCTGTGACCCACTGGGATCTGTTTTTAGGTGGTCCAGGGGACACAGAACAGCGTGGAGCTGAGCTATCTGAACTCTCTGACAGAGTACCAGGTGGCTGTTTTTGCCGTCTATCGCAGCGCCGCAAGTGAAGCCCTGAGAGGAAGTGCTACTACATGTAAGTTTATATGTTTACGCATTCAAACAGATGGAAGCAGGAAACATGGTAGTAAGCACCATGCAGCATCTGATGGTCTGTAAGGCCCATTTTGAAGCCTCAATTGCAACAATATTGGCGTCTTCATTGAGACATGTTGAAGCTAACAGTGACTTCTCTGCTAATGCTAGCAAACCTGGTGCAGTCACCTTGCAGTCCTGTTGCCTTTGAGTTGGGGACCAGGTCTGCGACCAGTCATAGTCAGTTTTTTCATGCATTAGTTCAGAGTGGAAATGAATGCAGTATGTTTGTGAAATTACAAACCTGTTACTACCTACATACACAGAAAGCCACACTAACTCTTTATACAAAGTTTTGTCAGAACCTCACAGATTTGAAACAATCTGTGGTTAGCACTGTTGCCCCACAGCACGAAGGTCCTGAGTTCAGTTCCACCATCAGGCCGGGTCTTTCTGTTTGCATGTTCTCCCCGTGTTTGCGTGGCTTCCTCCCACCGTCCAAGACATGCAGCTTGTGGGGATAGGTTAATTGGATAATCCAAATTGCCACTAGGTGTGAATGTGAGTGTGAATGGTTGTCTGTCCCTGTGTGTTGGCCCTGCGACAGACTGGCGACCTGTCCAGGGTGTACCCGCCTCTCACCCTATGACAGCTGGGATAGGCTCCAGCGCCCCCCGCGACCCTGAAAGGATAAGCGAAGAGAATGGATGGATTCAGAATTTCGTCTACAAACAGTTACACAGTTTAGTGATGCAGGGACTGGGCAGCCGTGCTTTTATGAAGATGTGTAAGCAGAATGCAGCCAGTTGGCAATCAGCTGAGTCGAGTCTTGAGTTGCAACGTGACATCTTGTGGCGAAGTTGCGCTCATAGCTCATCGTTACAGACTGAGACTGACTGTAATGTGTCAGCAGTTTATTTGCATCTATGATCGAGATGTGATTACCTGCAAAAACCGGTGAATGTGTCTGAGAGCGACTGCAGTTCCTTTGAGTCAGACGGGTTCCCTCCCACTAAGAGGCCTGAGCCATCGCCAGTGGTTGAGGGTGTTTCACATTCAGGTGAACGTTTGGTGACCGTGACTACTTCAAATTGTTCAAAGAGCTCCAAAAGGCATCGCCAGCACAAACACAGGTCAGGGACGAGATGAATTCATTAATACATTTTTAATTAATGAATGAATTTTTCATATTTCTGTTGTAACTTGGCTTGGTAGCGATTGATTCACTTTTGGATTGAGTCTCAAGCGGCCGTTTGAAGAACTGTGAAAACCACACGATGAAGATTTACCTACATGTTGCAGAGGCAAATGAACAATGTCCATTTGAGCCTCATTTAAGAATTAAGTCCCAAATGAGGGATCTGAACTCTTCATTTTTCCCAGCATGCACCTCTTCTATTATTCACTATCGCTCTCAGTCTTAAACCTCCAAGACAGTCTTCCCCTGGGATCTTTCATTGTGCTGTTAATTCTCTGCATCAAACCATTTCTGCTTCTGTGCAGTAGAAATGTGTTCTTGCTCACACTGAAGAGAAAGACTCAGTGTTAACCTGCAGAGCTTTTAATCATTTATTTATTGCTTTAATTTTGCTTTGAAGAAACTGACAGGACCGAGATGAACAACACACCTTTGGTCTTTTCACTCAATTCCAATGAAGCCAATTTATGACTGTTGAGTTGCAGCATCCGTAATAGCAGTGATAGAGCAGCAGACATGTGTTGTACTACAAAGGAAAACAGTGAGTTTGGGCCATAAAAGCTACACAGGTGTTTCATTATTTATTCGTGGCCCGATCCTCCTCTGACAGGATGCCTGTGGCGAGCTCTAATTCTGGTGGTATTGCCTGAGGCCTCGTGCTGACATGTGTACCCCGAGCCAGAGCCTGGCTGGATTCTCTGACCTTCTCGACCTGGCGTTCGCTGACGAATGACAGGGGATTCCTCCCTGTTGGTCGAGGATGAATGCAAAGTCACAAGTTGACCTTGTAGCAAAGTTAATGTGCTGTGGCTGTTTGCTGCAAGCTGCCACTTCTGCCCTGCTGCACTGTCTGGTTAAGGCAGCAAATTAAACATGATGCTAGGTACTAATTGATTTGGGGGTTTGAGCAGAGTGTGGTACAAAAGTGGAACATTTATCAAAGCAATACGTGAGGACTTTACTCGTGCTGTCCGACTTTGAAATATATTCGATTTCATGAAACCAGACCTCCATTTCAATCACATCAACTGCTTGACTTAAAATACACTGTGGTGGTTTGCAGAGGCAAAACTACATCACGTCGACCGTCGGCCCAAAGCTTCAGGACCTGGTTGTAAATCTCATTAGTCTCTTTTCTAGTTAAAGCTCGTTTGGCTCATTGCCGTGCAGGACAATGACCTCTGAATAACTGCTGTTTTTAACAACCCTGACATTGTGCATTACTGTTTAAAATACATCAAAGAAGATTTGGATTTCTGTTTAATCATGCATGAACTTACAAGACCTAATTTACTTCTGTTGCTGCCGGAGAGCCGTAGGATAACGAATTCCTTAGACTTTAGAAAAGGGCGAGTTTTCTATGAAATGTGAATTTTCAGGACTTGTCTGGCCCAAAACAGTCGAAGGTTAGTGTAAAAGTGCCAGATCACTGTTTTAGGTAAGATTTAATCAGCTACACTTATTGTTTAAAAGTAAATGTGTCAAAGGAAGAAACGCCGTCATCCAAACCCTGTGCTTGTGTCCGACAGTGGCCCTGCCCACGGTGAACAACCTGGAGTTGTTTGATATTACTCACAGCACTATGCGGGTCCGCTGGAAGGCCGTCGCTGGGGCTTCTGGGTACATGATCCTGTACGCCCCGCTGACTGGAGAGGACGCTTCAGATGAGAAGGAGGTGAGGAGTGTGCTCGTGTGCAATGAGAGTAAATGTGAGGCAAAGAATGAGCTGTATGATGCAGAGCAGGGTGCTCCCTGCTGGGCGCCAGCTCCTTTTCCAAAACAATGTTTCCTCAGATTTCTCTACATCACACAACGTCCCTCACAGGCCTACTTTAAACTCTGATCCAAGTAAAATATCTCCTACTTTATGTTATTTTAAAAGCCATTCAAATATAGTGTTCAAAACTTTGTGAAAGTAACTGAACTCCTGTGCTGCCTTGTGTTTATTAATTGATGAAGTCCAGTTGCCCTCATCAATTAGTCCATATTTCAAAAAACGAGACGCCAAAATGTTGACAAAGAGACTTTAATCAGGCTGTAATCAATCTGAGTGGTAAGCAAAGACTGTGTTAGTGTGGCTGTAAAATGTGGTTTTTAATATGTGCCAGTGTGAATATTTGACATCTTACAACTCAGCATTGTTTATCGGAAAAACATGAGCTGAATTCTTGATGTTGAGACTGATGATGGAAAAAACCAAACGACTCCGCTGCTCCAGGTCATTGTGCTCACCTGATGCGCCGCTCTCAGGCTTGGACACATCATCCAATGAAGGCTGCTCTCTGGTCACTGACGTATAGACCCAGCTCTCATCAGCAGAGTATTTCAACATGAGAGGCAGCAGTGATGGAAGAGTTGATATTTGCTCTTTGTCGAAGTTTGAAGTCTAAGACGTCCAGCCAGACAGGAAGTGGTCCTGTGGTGCAGGCGGCGACCCTGGAGGAGGTTCAACCAACTTTACTTCAGGCATTTTTAATCAAACAGAGTAACCGTACTGTATGACTGCACATCGTATACTTTATAGAAGCAGAATTCTGGATGTGCACTTTTCATATTGTTAACTCCAACACTGTTAGAGTTAACATGGATGTCATATGGTTTGATATAACCAATAAGCCAGCATTCAGGTTTCTGGTGTGATGAACAGTCTTTTGTTAGAGTGAACATGAATAGAAAAACTTGAACTATAACTTCAAATACCTGCAGGTTTGAGCGGAAGAAACTTCGGACTGAATGTAATCAGCAGCTCAGGATCTCACAATTTGACTTGTTGACTTTGGAGAAAAATCACAGGATATCGTTGGACATTTGCATAACAAAGACTTTCTGCGCCTGTTGACTTTTGTCTGTGGTTTTGCTTCTCGTTTGGTATTTTTGTCTTCGGCGTTCGCAGGAATTCCACCTAAATTTGCTTTGAAATAGTCTATTAAAGACGGTGACTGTCGGAGCTGACAGACTGCTAATTTGCATTCAGCTGAATAAAGTTGACCTTCTTAGACGTCTTTGTAATTATAATTGAGTTGCTTCAAAGTAAACGTCTGCTTTCATGTGCCGTTTCTGTTATTTTTCTACATATTCTGTATGTTTGACTACTTTGTACTATGAGTCTCAGGAAGGAAACAAAGGAAGGGGGATGGAAGGAAACGGCCAAAAACATATACCAGAAATATCAGATAATATTAGAGAAAGCGGTGGCAGGAGAGAGTCTTTAATTCACTCTAATAAACAGCACGGCTGATCCTGAGCCACCTTTCAGTGTCCCCACCATGCAGGAGTCAAAAAAGTGCAGCCACCCTCTGAGTCACAGTAATATATCTTTAAAAACTGTGACCAATTAGAGGACAAAACACAACCAAAGCATCAATTACACCTTAAAGACTGAATAACACTTCAAAGTGAAACAGGCATGCATACAAAGACCAGCACTGATTGGAAAGAAGACATTAAAAGCAAACAGCAGGACAGACTGGAACATGGGGATCTTTTGCAGGTAAATTCAGCAGTTAAGGAAGACGAGACATTCAAAGGAGAGGAGGAGAGGTATGAAGGGCACAGGCAGCCGTCCTTATCCCTCCTTCTCCCATTAGACCTCATTATGCCTACCGTCACATTCGCCTCCAGGCAGAAAGCAATAAAAACAATTTAGGAAGGAATTTGGAATCAGGATGGATGTTTTCCAGCGGTGAGGATAAGCCTGGCTCTGAGGCACTCCGTCAGAGCCCAGGCTTGGCTGGCTCGTCCTCGTGTGGCTTCCACTTATGGGCCGTGTGGGGACTTGTCTGGGCCAAAGCCAGCCTCAAATCCATCCCAGTTTGACTGGAAAAGTGCTTTCATTCAAACAGGGACCCAGTGTAGGTCTGCACAGACTGAACCCGAGGGAGAGAAAGGACGAGCACAAATGTGAACAAGAGGTAGATTTTACAGCAGGATGTGACTCCAACGGTCCCCGAAGCTGCTAAATGTGTCCACGCCAAACAAACACAGCAGTAACACGAATGTGGTGCACGTAACAAAAGGGCCTTCTTGTCGAGCAAGAAATGCTTCAGCTCATGTACATCGGCCCGGGTCCAACCCTACACCCACATCAAGCACCGCTCCAAACCCACTAGCTTTAACTGGAGGTGAGTGATGAAGCCAACTCAGAGTCTACACCGATGCAGACTCCACCTGCTTTGAGTCAGGAACGGAGGAAACTCCACAAATATAACTGTGGTTCTAAGAAGGGTTGGACTCTGCTGGGTAGATGAAAGCAAAGGGACGAGATGATGTTTAAAGGCGGTGATAGAGAATAATGTTGTTTCAACAGGAGCAAAGGGGCAGTGACCTTTATTTAAGTAAAATTCCACGTAGATCCATTTTGATTGTTGATGGTTATGTAGGTCATGTGTGCTTCAGAAAAGGAAACTGTATTTCCTTCCTCTGCACAGACAAGAAACAGGGTTAAGAAATTGCTCCTGTGTGCCAAGCTACTTAGAAAATGTATGACCTGAAGTCTTTTACGGTGTTTATCACAGAAAACAGACAAAATGAAAAAAGTCAGCAGATTAAATAGGTCACATTCTACTAAAAACACAAAACATGCTTTAATACCTCTCCTGTAATGATGGTAGACGCTCATATCAAACCGAGACAGAATTTGAAGTGGTAAGACGTGGACATGCAGCAGCTCTGGCTTCACTCTACATTAGTTGGTCTTCAAAGAAGAGGATCTAAAATCGCTGCACCAAGTCTTTGTAAAGGAATAAGGATTTTTTAAGGATGCAGAGTCGCTTTGATAGAATCCAAGAATAAAAATATGAAGTGAGAAACAAGCAGAGTTGGTCCTCTTTAAGCCATCCTATCTGATTGCAGCAGCTCTGATTCTGATTGAAATTCCTACTTCAGTGTGAGAAAGGCAGGGGCGTCCCAAAGCTCGGCGGTTAGAGTCTATTCAGAAAATTGTCTCAGGATAAAAAGAGATAAAGCCTTTAGTTATTTAGCTGTTACATCTTAGGCCAAAAGATAAGGTGGAAATATTCTAAAATGAGGTAAGAAGTAAAAAAACCTGTGAAAGTATTAACAGTAGTTATTGGTCACGTTGAACCTTCTGGCTGATTGTTCCTGTTGTACGTTGTTCTCTAAGGAAACAACAAAAGCCATTTGTTGTATTATGTCTGCATCCAGTGTATGTTTGGCAGAATAAGCGATGGTAAAGTTGAATATTTGTGTGCGCGCTGTGCAAGCAGCTGCAGACTGGTTGAGTTCTATGTTGGCGATTGAGATGAAACAAATCGGGCTCTGTGGGGACAGAAAGGTCTGTTTCAGCTACGCAGACAAGCTCCAGCTGCAAAGCAGAAAACAGCCGATGTTTTTCTCACATTTTAAAATCGACCACTGCGGTCCTGCAAACAGAGTTTCATCATCTTCCTTTGTTCTGAGTTTCAGCTCAGTAGATGTGGGACATACTACAAGAGCCTGATTGGCCCCTCCTGCTTAATGTAAAAGGAAGATCTCCATATTCACAACTCATCTCATGCAATCACACTTTAATTCTCTGCTTGCCTGGACGAGACTGCTGATGATAGAAGAGTAGACGTGCAGAGAGATGAGTAACAGGGCGGATAAACGACTGCATGAAATCCACTGACAAGACAGAGATTTAAAGGATCTACTAGAAAGTCTCTGCGTCTTCGCTAAATGCACATACCTGCTGTGTGTGCGCAGGTGAAGGTGGATGACTCGGTGACTGAGGTGGAGCTGGAAGGATTGACTCCAGCTACTGAGTACACAGTGACAGTTTACGCCATGTACGGAGAGGAAGCCAGTGACCCCATGACCAGCCAGCAGACCACATGTAAGTCTAACATGCAAAACACTCCCACCATCAAATATTTCTTTGATCTGTTGTTAGCAGCCAATACATGAAGAATGAAGCCAAAATCTTCAGTTCGCCAAAGATTCTCATGTCTCAAGTCTCAAGTCTCTGTTTAAGGCTTAAACTTGAGCATCACTCGAGCCACAGGCCCAGCGCGGCTCTCTGCTCGGTGCCACCTTAGCTAACAGGCGCTGGTCCTCATGGCCACTATTTGTGTTTTTGGTGCCATTAGTAGCTTTTTAATGGAATTATCTGATATCTGAACATGGATTATTATGTGGCCGATTGGTGTAATAAAGTTGTTGTATTTTCTGTTAATGTTATTTAGATGATTAACATGCATAATAATAATTAAACAAGTTTTCTAGGATTTGCTAATAACACTGTTAGGTCTCCAGAACATTGTCAAGCTTTGGCTGAACCTTCAAAACAGGCGTCCAAGCCGATCAGTCATGACAGAGTGGCTACATTTATGCTTTATATACAGTCTGTGGTGACATGCAGACTTCACTGCTTGGACTTGTCCTGTTGGCAGCCATTAAACTTTGGCTGATTCTTGACTGAACGACATGGATCCACCTCAAACTCTGGCTGAAAAATAAAGTGTTGATCTGATCACCAGAGTTATGTAACGACAATGTTGACGTCATCCAGGTCACACAAATATCAGCATCACAGTTCAGGAGCTTCAAGTGTAAACAGTTGTGCCTGCATAAACAATTTCAGTCAATATTTAAGCATGCAAATATTTTTTAAAGACACAAGCCTTCACAAATATTCCACGAGGGCTTTGTAATCCTTCACACACTACAGCCGGATACAGTTTAAAAATGAGGCGCAGGCACACAGTTTTCACAAAGTGTCCTCATCTTCTTTTAATGTCTTGGGAGTTGAGATCTGAAAGAAAGGCAAACTGGTCCTCGCAGAAATGGAAATATAAGGTCGCACATATGCTTTACTAACTGTTGGTGAAATTCAATTTCATTAGATCCCCGACAGATTGTGTGACCCTTTGAACTCGAGTCACTGCTATTCTCATCTCTGAAAGCAGCCGGCACATTTTTCATTTTCCTCAGGACGTTAACTGTCAGCTGTCTGATCAGGAGGAAACCACATCTCCAAGCACTTAAACCTACATCCTCCATGTACAAACCTCCAAACCCTTTATCAGCTAATTTCTTTCATTATCTTTTTTATGTGTTTTCTAATCAGAGGGATCAGCTGCCGCAGACATATTTGCTTTTCATTTGCTGAGTGTTTGCTCATAGTTTCTTCCCAGACGGCTGCAGCGTGCTGAAGTCCTGTCCCAACACGTATCCTGCTCCTGACAAACTAGCAGCCAGCAATGCCAAAACTCTCTACATGGCGCCGACTTTGATTCCCTTATTCCAGCTATTTTCTGCACCTCGCTGTCATTCTGTAGAGTTTTGATGAGAGTAACTCGGCGCTCCGCCCACCCTAAATCCCCACCGTGCTCACTAATTAACATTTTATGAAGTCTCCTTTAAGGTTTGAGGCCTGCGGCTTTAAGTCAGGGCATGTTTATGTCTTTACGGTGTGTGTAAGGCTTTGGATGCGGGTCAGAAGAGGACACTCTGTCAAATACATTTTCATAATAAAATAACTTTTATTGTTCCATGCAGGCAGGACTTAATGCCCTTGAATGAAGATGGGACACATTAAGTTTTGGTCATCGTCTTTGTATCGGCCCCGTTCCCCGAAATATTCCTTCTGCATTATAAAAACGAGGTTCCTCGTTAGCTGCACACCACATGATGCAAATGACGGTCGTGATGTGCTTTTCACTCAACGAGCTTGTTCGTATTCATTCAGTCTGCCTCTCTGTGTCATCAGAGGCCTCTCATCCCTCATTTCCTCTCGTCATTTAACTGTCGTTTCTTCCATTGTTAAGACAAAATGTGCTTTAATGATCATTGCAGTGAAACGAGGCCGTTGCACATGCAAATGGGTTGGATTTCTTTTTCTTTGAAGGAGCATGATGGAGATTAAAGATAAAGACTCATACAAAATCAGACTACAGAGAGCTTTGCACATCTTCCCACTTTGTGGTTTTACAACCAGAAGCAGGTCGTGAGGCCACAGAATGCAGATTTGATTTTGAATTGTTTTTTTCATTGGTTGTTTGTTATTTAACTGTAGCTCTAAGTGTGTGCGCTTGCAGAGGTTATACATGTCATGAGAGACTTGCAAACACTTGATCCCTTTTATATAAGAAAGGATTTAAAACAAAAAGGGTTTTTTTCAATAATTTAGCTACAATAAAAAAACTGAATATTCTTCTGTGGAAATGGGACACTCAGAAACAAGAACTGCACTACAGAAGCTGACAGATGTTTGAAGGTTTCTTGTGCTTCCCACACAACTTTTTAATGACATGCAAATCTCCAGTTTGACTTGGCCAGTCTGTATCCGTCCATTTTCCTTTTTTTGTTTGTTTGAGGGGTTTTTGGGGATATTTTCTCATTGGTCGCCTTTAGCTCTCAGAGACATGGCTTCACTTTGTCTTCAAGCATTCTTGGACATGATGTGGTGTGATGCAGAATTCAATTACTAATCACACTGTGCCCTTCAAGCTGCCCCATCATTGAAGCAATGAGGCAACCCCAAACCACGGCCGTTGTATCACTGTTATGGGATTTTACTGTATTGATTGATTTTCTTTTGCCTATTCCATCTGTGGTCTTTATTTTCTCCACAACACATTATTTCAAAAGGCCTGGTGTTTAACTGTGTTCTCTGAAAAATGTCAACTTTCTTTTTGGACAGCAGGACCTTTTTTGTTGTTGCTGGCTTGATTCCAATGCACTTATGTGCAGGCACATTCATATTGTAAATGCTCACATTCTGATGCCAACAGTTATTTGCAGATGCCGTTGTAAAACACTGGGGTTCTTGAATATGTCTCTTTGCCTCAGACGGTGTGTTGCTGGAAGTAAGTGAGACTGTGTTAGCTTTATGGACAGAAGATGTAGGCATAGACTGAATGTTTTCTGCTTTGGTGCCCTGAGGAGCTTATTACTGCTCTTCGCAGAAGCTGGAGTTCTTCTGGCTTCATCGGGCAGTGACCTCCACCTTGCACTGGATCAACTTACAGTCGACAGAGAAGTAGCTGGGATGAGAATTAATTAGCACTTCCAAGGCTGATACCATGGTTCTCACCCTGAAAAGGGAGTTCCCACTCCAGGTCGGAGAAGAGTCGCCATCCCGAATGGAGGAGTTTAACTATTTCAGGGTCTTGTTCATGAGTGAGGCGAGAGATTGACAGAAAGATTGCAGCAATGTTAATGGTGATGCAGAGGCTTTCTTGGTCTGCTGTGGCAAAGAGGGACCTGAGCATGAAAGTCAAGCTGTTGCTTTGCCAGTCAAGCTATGTCCCTACCCTCACCTGTGGCCACGAGCTCAAGGTAGTGACTGAAAGAATGAAATTGTGGATACAAGAGACAGACAACAGGGTGTCCCTTAGAAATGTGCTAAGTGGCTCGGTCAGGTGCTCGGAGTAGAGCCACTAGTCCTCCAAATTGAAAGGAGTCAGTTAAGGTGGTTCGGACATTTGGTCAGGATGCCTAGAAAATTTCTAGGTGAGGTTTTTTGGCCATGTCCATCAAAGCTCTAGAGCAGGGGTGGGAAACTCCAGGCCTCAAGGGCCAGTGTCCTGCAGGTTTTAGACGTGTCCTTGAGCCAACACAGCTGATTTAAATTGTTAACTGACCTCCTCATGTCTTGAAGTTCTCCAGAGGCCTGGGTATAAACTAATCATTTGATTCAGGTGTGTTAATCCAGGGTGATATCTAAAACCTGCAGGACACTGGCCTGGAGTTCCCCACCCCTGGTCCAGAGCCACATGGCTTTGACCTTGGTACGATGATACTACATACTCAAAAGTAAGCAAAACAGCAGAACCTTGATGTCAGAGCTTTAAATAAGATGGGTTCCACTAGGGCTGGGCGATATGGCCTAAAATCCATATCACGGTATAATTTGAGGCATGTGCAGTAACGATATATTCTTTTCTTCCTTATAACATATTTTAAATAATATAAGGCACACTTAAAATCCTTTAATTTTCTCAAAATTCGACAGTGTTCCTTATGTTTGAATTCTGGTTGTGCTCACTGACCTCGAACCAATTTTATGTGGTACACGGCGCACAGAAATCTGTCAAAAAATGTTTTAGTATGACTTTGGTAAGCTATGAAGCGCACGCTTGATGGATTGTTCGGAGCATTAGGCTGCCGTAGGAGCCTTGGAGTAATCTGGGTCCAAAACTCCGTAGTCCTTCAGGTTCCAAAGTCAAACTGCTAAATTCTTTCATCTTTAAAAAATGATCAGGTTGCTGCTTTACCAGGTGTAACAATTAAGTTTAACATCCAGGCATCCATGAAAACAGAATTTATTAAATTAACGGAGTTAGAAGTTAGCAGGAAGTTAGCTCGCTAGTTTCCACCTAAACATGATATAGCATGTTCTGACTGAGAGATTTCTGAAAAAATAAAACGTACAGCTCTGCTATCACTTCCAACATAAATGAAGACAGAAAACTAAACAGCAGTGACGTTTGTAGGGTTACTGAAGTTGGGCTAGCTGGTATATAATGATGTGCTACGTGATCGCTAGCAAAACAGCTACATTAGCATAACATTAGCACAGTGAAGCTGGAGGATGAACGCTGGACAAAAGTTAACGTGAGGGTTCCTGATGGTTAGGGACAAATGTAATCGCATGGCAGGATGCTGTAAACGGACCAAACTTCAGTCAGGAGAACAACTGAGATAATCCATCCAATACGAGGTTAGTCATTAATATACTGCAACAACATGGGAATAGAGCAGCTGCAAGAGAATTCAGCATTAATGAATCAATGGTAGGGAAGTGGAGGAAGCGCAGGTTTTGGCTTTCCCCATATTTCCAAAGTGCTTCGTCTCTTCGCCATTACTGCCGCCCGCAAAATTTGCAGATGATATTGTTTGCAGTCGCTGCAATGATTTCAACCAAAACAGGCACCATCAACATGCTATCGCGGTAGAGCTGTATAGTCAAAATCTCTACTGTTGGCCAAATTTATACCGTTTCTAACGCCCACCCCTAGGTTCCACATTTCACTGCCTGATCTAGAACCCCTAGTTAAATTAAAGGAGCACACTTTTCCTGTATTGGTGATCTGCTTAATGAAACTTCATCAGAGCTGTTATAATAATGTTGAAAGCTCTGATTGGCTGAGCTGTCAATTAAAACAACACTAGAGTTATGTAGGTGTTGAGCAAAGCTGCCAGCTGCAGTGACACCCCTGAGCTGTAGCGTCATCTATATGGTTCTTGTAATACTTTATATGGAAACGTTTGGAAACTTTAGCGACTTACCTGTTGTTAAACTTTTTTAATTTGCTTTTTGCTCATTGCTGTTGTGACCCTGGGATACCCCGCTGCAGTATCTCACTCCCTTCAGCCCACTCTGGATTTCTCTCTGTCTGCTGCTTTGTTTTTAATCTGACCCTCGGTATAATTGAGGTGAAGCACTGGTGGGTACAATCAGAATTATTTTTCTTTTCTTTTGAAGAAAACAGATCAGTGATTCTAAATGTAAAAGTTCCAAAGCTCAGAGAGAATCAGATTCTGCGGCTGAATTTTTAAAGTGAGGGCAGGGGGGGATTTTTTTAGACCTCCGAGACGGCGAGAAGAAATGAGAAAGAGAGGACGTTTAGGCAGAGCCTGAGGGAGTGCGGTGATGTAATGAGCTTCTGTCCACTTTATAATTAAAAGTAGTGGAGTCCAATAACCCTTGTACAAACCCCCATGAGTGCGAGTGTGAATTAGACAGACCTGCTGTTATCAGGGGTCATGATTTCAGGCCCCTCATGAAGGCTCGGCTGTGTTTGCGTGTCCATGTATCTGCTGTTGATAAAGAACATAAAGCTGTTTCGTTCTTTTGTTATTTCTTCGTCTTTTTGCGATGTATACGTTCAGTTTGAAAAATATTCCATTTCCGAGGCCACACACGCTTTCTTAGTGTTGGATTATAACTGTGCTAATATGAGCAACTGGGCAGTTTATATGATTTAAAGTTTTGGAACATTTTCTGAAAGGCACATTTAATAAAGTAGTATGGAGGAACAAAGCTGCCAGTCTCCCCAAGTCAATGCAGGAACGCTAAGTTAAAAAATAAACAAAATTAGTGAAGGTAAATAAACAGGTTAATTCATTGGTATACAAATAATAGTATTGCATTATCTGTCCAGTAGTCATACTGATTAATATATATTTTGGCTCCTCCATAGGGAGAGGAATTTATAGTCGGTTCACAGCCGTTTCTTTCCAGATGTTGTGTTTATGGTTTGCTTTCTGTCCCTCAGTACCGCTGATCCCAGCGAGGAACCTTCGTTTCTCTGAGGTGGATCACAGCTCTGCCCGAATCACATGGGACTCTGCCTCCAGGAAGGTTAAAGGGTACCGCATCATGTACGTCAAAACCAATGGAGTCCAGACCAATGAGGTGAGGGAACTCTGGAGGACACAGGTCATCAGGCTAGCCCAAACTTGTCAGAGAGGAAGTAGTTACGTGTTCGGAAACTGTCGTTCCTCGATGAAGTTTAGCAATTCCAGCAGAGCCTGATCATTGGTCCAGCATCTGTGCACTGTCCGTGCTGCTAATTTCAACATGACAAACAAACCGAGTCGCTTAGGAACAAATGTCATTGTGTTTTGGTCCTGTGTCTTCAGGTGGATGTTGGCCGTGTGACAGCCTGGCTGCTGAAAAACCTGACATCACTGACGGAGTACACTGTTGGTGTGTTTGCCGTCTATGATGAAGGACAAGCTGAGGTTGTGACAGACAGCTTCACCACAAGTAAGAAACTAACATCATTGTAAATAGAGATTGTTACATTCAAAAGTGTTTCTGAAATGGTTTCAACCAGAATTGTTGGTGTTTGTTTAGAAACTGTCCCGGACCCAGTGGACCTGAGGAGCAGTGACATCTCCACGAACAGCTTCAGGGTGTCCTGGGCTCACCCGGCGTCTGATGTGGTGCTTTATCGACTCATCTGGACACCCACCGACGGAGAAGAGAGCAGTGAGGTGTTCACGTGTTTCTTATACGCTTATATGTGTATTTTAAGCTTAGAAGATGAAAGAAAGTCACCTGGAAATCTTATGATTTCTGAAGTGTCATCTCTCAGGATGGAAAACGCTCATTCTTTTAAGTAATTCGGTCCTTAATGACCATTAAAACTCTCTTTATAAAGTTTTAGACTGCTCAATGCTTAAATTAAACACATGTTGGCAGTGTTTCATGTGGCCAAATGGCAGTTTCTACTCTCAGCTCTGTGTAATGTTACAGAGGGAATATCCTTATATGATCATATCACACGAAGCTGACTGCGAGCACAGAAGACTGAACCACCTTCTGTTCTTCTCAAAGGACGATGGATAAATGGCTTCATCCAGGCAGTGGACAGACTGAGAGGCTGCACCAAACTCCTCAGTCTGACTGTCGCAGAAATAAAGATTATTTTTCATCACCTCCATAAAAATATGGAGCTAGAAATGAGCAGATCGGATCCTTTGAAACACTAACGAGCACTAACGAACGAAGCTGCTCCCGCCAGCACAGTCAGGTTTAATAACTGTGTGCTGACTTTGTCGCAGTCATTGTTGACTGGCAGCGTCTTTGAACCTGATAAACACCAATCAAATGATTTCATTAAGATATGAGAAGAAGTGCACGTGACAGCAGATAAAAGCCAACTTTGTCACTCCAGTGAGTGTCTGAGAGATAATGTGGGCGTCACCGGCTTTTGTATGTCTTCTGATCTTTGTCTTAACTGATGGTGACTTTGCTTTTATGTACTCTGCAGAAAGAGGTTTTATCAGGAAACTCTTAGAATGAAACATTTTGGAACATCTTTTTCTGTCACCTGTCTGTCTAAAGCAGATTTGTTGTCCTGCTGTTTCAGGTTTTGGTGAATGGGAATATCAACACGTACCTGATAAAGGAACTCACCCCCTCGACAGAGTACGAAGTCCTCCTCGCCGCCATTTACGGGAATGAGCTGGAGAGTGATGAGGTGATCCTCGTGGAGTCCACCGGTAAATTTATTGTTACAAAACCTCAGGTTTCTTCACACTTTCATGTTTGTTGTGTTTATTAATGAGACTGTTTGTCGTCTTTCTGTTATTATTCTCTGATTTTATTCTGTAAACCGCTCAGAGGAATCAGACATCAAAGGATCCTTTAAACTTTCTGAATTAATGGATCAGTCGCATCAGTGACATGTTTCTGCATTTGATTTTCAGCTGAAAAAACAACCACCATTGCCACGACAACCACCACCGTAGCAGGTAATTAATCCCGGGATGAATTGGGATCTTTTTTTCTCTTCTCTCCATCGTCTGCGTTTTATTTCATCCTTCATCAACTCTGTCATCCTAAGACTTTCATTTATCACTTGACTTCTTTTCCACCAATGTGTTGCTGAGGTTTAATGTAGAAACAGTTCACTGGTACTGGTGCCACTGGCTACTGGTGAAAATGGGAAACACTGCCTGGTTGTTGGCTGAGACTGGTTAATGAAACGCACTGAGGCAGCGTTTGTGGTCCTGTGCTGATGAAGAACATGGGTAATAGATGCCTTTGAACTGTTGGTGTGTTTTTATCAGCTCTAACTTGCATGAAACGAGGGATCTTCATCAATCAGCAGCCCTGTAAGTGCATGTGGAACTGCAGACTAACGAGTGCTCATGGGAATTCTTTAGGCAACAGAAATCTTCCAGGATCTGTCGAATAATGACTCGGAATTTCAAACTCTGGCAGTTTTCATTTCTCCACGCAGTACGTGTGCCTGAAGATCAATGTTGTTTTTTTACTGTAGTAACCAATTAGCTTTTAAATGTGAAACACATATTTTTCATGAATTTGAAATTTTCCAGACTAAATAAGAAAAACCAAACTGTTACCTGTGGGTGCAGTTTGGATCCAGTGCAGTTACTCAGTATCGATTATTTAGTCAGATTGACAGAGTAAAGCTGAAGTAAATGTCTGGTTCTTTCTAGCCTGGCACAGGACAGAGACACGTAAATGCAAACCAGCCGAAGTCGTCTCAGTTTGGATTTCGGGAAGCAAGAAATCTCGACAGGATGGAGAGCAGTTATTGTCTTTTAGAAATCAGAGAAATAAAGAAAAAAGATAAAGATCATAATATTAGGACTCATGTGAGAACACTGTTTGTGGTTTTGTGTTGAAATGGCAGCACTGGGAAAAAAGTTTCCAAAAATTCGAGCGTGTAAGTGACGCTATAAATGCTGATGTTATAAGATCAAAATTCTGAAACGGTAAATCAGATAAGAAGTTTGCTCCTCCTGTTTCACTGATAGCGTCTGTAAACCTGTTCCTATATTATCAGAGGGAGGGTGCGTTGTTCCGATATGTTCTCCGAAGGAACGTTTCGATATTCCGAAGACACTGATGTGATATGAAAATCTGAGCAAATTAAATGCCAGAATGATGACATTTTGATACCATCGCTTTCTGTGATAGGCTGTGACAGCTTCATGCTTCACTGAGTTCATCTTTGAGTCACTGATCTGCAGCCAGAGTTTCTCTGTCCAACCCTTCAGCTCCTCGGTACGGGGTGAGAAGCATGAAGATCGATGAAGAAACTACGTTCAGCATGCGGGTGTCCTGGCAGCCCGTCGACCCCAGAAATGCTCGACATTATCGACTGAGCTACATCAGTGCGAGGGGAGACCGAGCAGCAGAGACGGTAAGACAGAGAGAGACACTTCATTTCATAATAATTACCTCCAGGTCTGATGCTCATTTGAACGGTCTTCAGCAATGCCTGCTTTTCATTCCCAGCATCAACACTCAGCAACACTATCTTAGCCTATAGGAGCCGCACATTAATAAAGTCAACAAACAATCAGCCCCAGCACACAAACACCACCTAAAAACAACAGGAAACTGACAGCGATGTGTTTTCCATGCTGATAGAGCCTTCCCCTCTCATTTAAAATAAATGGAAATCCCTTGTGGCAGCCATCACGACCACATCACCAATTTGCAGAAGTTTAATTTGCAGAACATTTCCAGCCGTAATCTTTACTAAGTCACGTTTGTGTGATTTCTTTGAATACTCTTCAAATTTTATGCTCTGAAAGTCAAACTCCTACAAATTCATACAATGGAACAGACAAAAGAGCATCAGTCTTCAACAGGAGGAGGGTGGGAGATTATTGATGAAGACAATGGCAGGCCCTCAGATTAGAAGTCCTCCTTGGAGAGAAAGTCAGTGTTACTGAAGTTGATGGCAGGCCTTCAGAGTCTAGTTAAGGGGCAGAGACGAGAGCAGGAAGAGGATAATGATGATGAAAACAGTGGCAGGCCTTCAAAGAGTTTTTCTTTTTTTCAGTGAGGTAGAGAGAGCCTGGCAGCTTCTGCAGTAATGAGCCGAGAGAGAAGGCTTTTATAGAAAACAACACTCGTGCAAAAATATGCCACAGGCGTGCGTGACAATACATCAATAATGGGGTACAATCGTGGCCCCGCGTGCCAGAAATGTCCAAAGGGAGCCAAATATTATTTTTAATAACGAAATATGACATGAAAGTTCGCTCACAGGTTCTGGCTCTGGGTCTCTACCTTAACCCCGGAAACTGTGACTTTTATTGCCAGAACTTGCTTTCATGCCTACAGAGTGACTCATGCAACCCGTCAGGATGTTGGACCAACACGGAGCACAGGCTCAAAATCCCAGCTTGGTTTTTGTCCAGTTCCACTTAAATGGCAATTTAATCAAAGGGGGAAAAGGGCATTGATGCTTTCTGCAGTCCTGCCACACAGGAAGGACGCAAAAAAAGAAAAACCTCTCGACACTGTGATTTTACCAACAACACGTGCATGTGGGAAACCTGAATGTGGAATATTCCAGGCAAAAGTGTTAGCGACGCCTGGAATCTGGGTGTGTGGGGAGGGGTGTGCTTTAAAAGATAGTTGTCCTCAGTAATCAGGGTCAAACTTCACGGTTCCTGCTCAACTAAGACGTCTGTCTGGTTCTCAGTGATGAGGTGAGTTTTGACTAAAAGTCCCCGTTAGAAGGCAGACATGTCATGTTTACAGTGTGGTTAGTTTTCATGATAAAAGCTGCTTCGAATCCTAATTAAAGACAAACTCCCAGATTTCCTGTCTTTAAACTCTGCTCACACACACACACACCTTTACATGCATCACAAAGACTTTTTTCTTTTTCATGCTCTCATTGTTTTCTTTCACATTTGTGCAAATCACATTTATTCTGTAATAATTGTCTCTTTGGTGTTAATAAATGTAGAGCATGGCTTCCAAGCTTCTTTGTAATCCTAAGTGGTCGGGTGTTCCCTTTGTCAGGTTAACGCGTGTCAAATATCTCCAGAACCGTCTCATCTTCCTGTGACTTTTGACTTCACTGGTGTGTGTTGTTGTGTGCCGGTTGTGCTGCCACCGCACCAGAGGCCCACTCTGGACACAGGTCCCGCTTCAGCCTTTTCATCCTGACAATAAAGAGCCACCAGCTGCTCGCACCGGCGGCTTGTTAAATGAGATCTCTTATCAAAGCACGAACAGCTGTGGCCTCTGTTTGGCAATCCGGTCAGGTTATGAATCACCAAGTGCTGCGCTCAATAGCTACTATTTAGATGTCTATCTGCTGTGGGGGGAGAAAAAAACACCTGCTTTGTTCAAAGTTTCACTCTGTGGTTCTCGGCTGCCAAAGCAGGGCAACGCGCCACCGAAGGAGCGCGTCTCATTTACACGTTATTGATATGTGGCTCATCCCACTTCATCTTCACTGGTGGAATCTTGTCCTAAAGAGCTAACGTGTAGTCAGCATGTTAGATCTGCAGCTGCAACAAATCATATTATATGTAATTAAATTGTGGCTATTAGTCACAAAGTGGTTTTCTAACACGATTACAGAACGCTCTGCATCACAGGAACACGCAGCAAAGAAAAGCCAGAAATCAGACTTCCTTGGCCTTTTTGCAACTTTTGAATTATTTATATTATTTAATTATCGAGTGGTTATGTCTTAGTTTTTGTCCTGTTCTTCTCTGGATGATAGAAATATCTGCATTTCCATTGTTATCGTCAAATTTTGACCTCCTGGGCAGAAGGAGGCAGAAGGAGAATGAAGCCAGCACAGAGGTATTAAGAAGCCAGCTGTCCTTCAGACGGACTCCACAAGTCAGTCTGTCCCCAGTGCCTCCCACATCAAAATGCCCAATTTCCTGACACGGGGAACTGTAGGCAATCAGAGCTCGCCTCCTCTGACTGAAGCCACTGAGTCTGTTGGTGCCTTATGAAGCTTTTTTCATCTGACAAACACTGTGTGGCCTGCTGTCAGATACAGACATCAGGGAGTGAAATGCTAGCGTGTTATTAGTCTGTTACTTAGCTGTAATTAGCAGGTATGATTGTGTTTGTGGTGCACCTGTGCAGTCTGGCGGGAACATTTCCAATCCGTACTTTTTGGGTTACAACCTCTAACCTGGTCTGGTTCTTTCTTGCTAGACTTGTACTAGAAAATTAATGCACGAATAAATGAAACATTTCTCAGTGCTTAGGTCTCTACAAGCTTATAAATCTAGAAGTTAATGGTTCGGTTCATTCAGATGGCTGTGTCACTGCCGTACCAGATGATGGTGTCTACACCGTAGCCATGGCGTGACTCAACTCTGAAGCCATCTGTCCACAGGCAGCTGTGATGCTCAACTCATTGAAGCTCCATTATTTCCCTGTGCCGCTTCATTCAGCGTCCAATAAACCAAAGCTGCCGGGCATCAAGAGCAATTCCACCGTGTGCAGGGTTCTGGCTCTCGCTGCTCGGGAGCAGATTCTTGTTCCAGGAGGTTAAAAACTGGGGATTAAAAAGTTTAAGGGATCTTTTTCTTAAAAAACTGTAACTGTCTGTGTGTGACACTCACAGCTATTAGAAAATAATCAATAAATACAGTGTTTTGCACTAAAGCTTTAATTTCTGATCTTTGAGCCATGTCTCAATTGCCGGTTTTAGCTAATGGAAGCCATTTAGGTTTAAACACCATAAGTGTGGTTTCATGAGGGAGAAATCCAAACCCATTTCTTTTTAACTGTGATCTTTGGCATCATTCAGCAGAAATGTCTGTCCCCTAACTGCTCATTTAGTGTGTCTGATCCACTTCCAGTTCTCTATTTATTTGTTTTTTGTTAATGTTAGGTCTGTTTCTGATATTTAACAATAAGTGTCTTTTATTTATATATATATATATATATATATTCTCCAAAGTCACAAATCCTCCAGGATTTGTGCGTCCAGCAGCTACCAGCTGTCAAAAATGTCCTGTAATAAACTGAAGGCTTATGACTTGACCTGAGCTTAAAGTCCTCATCTAAGATTAAAGGTGTTTCTTCTTTAACATCGTCAGTGATGTCGACCACTACTGCAAAGCTAGGCATGTTAACACCAGAGTTTATGAGCATTTCTCCCCAAGTGGCCACTAAAGGAACTGCAGGTATGGATAGTTTTTTTTCTCAGCTTCAGTTTTCAGCCCCCGGAGGTTCCCGCTTGGTTGGCAACATAAGGGATGCGTCCCCACTTGGATCTAGGGCTTGGCATTATTTGGATTTATCATAAAAATGATTTAAACAAGACTACTGACAGTTCAACATTATTCATTAGTTTTGTCACACTGACTGGCTGTGGTGTGTTTATGTATTTATTAGGGGTGCAACACGTTCGATACAGTGCTTTCGGATATACGCATATGTATCGAACAATACAAAATTTTTTATTTATTTTATCAACTTTTCTTCTGACGATGCTGTCTGTGTTGAGCGCTCGTTGCAACATGGCAACTGCCTCAACGCTACCCGAAATTGAACCTCCCCCACCCTCATTCAGATCTGGCCTTTGGAACTATTTTGGTTCTTCATGTGACGTATGACCCTGAAGGTAAGCGCGTCATGGACAAAAGTAAAACAGTATGTTGGATGTGCCACGCAATGCTCAATTGGTGGGAACTAGTGCGTTAGCGCAGTTAGCTTGTTAAGTGTTGATGCCGTCCAGCCCCACGCACGGGGCGATCCGCGGTAACTCGTTAACGGAGATTTGCTGCGTTATGGCGTTAATGTCATTTTAACGAGATTAACGCTGACAGCACTAGTGGGAACACAACGAATATGACTGCACATTTACTCCGACATCATCCTAGTGCAAAGACAAGTGGAAGCAGACAAAAACAACAAGCAGCATGCTACAAACTTTACCCGAGTCATTTAGACAGCCGTTAGCACAGGATTCTCCTTATGGGGACCTGATATGTTTAATATGCTGCTGAGAATATAGCCCAGAAGAAGCGTATAGTAGAGCTTTTATTTTGGAAAGAGCCATTTCTCTGTAATAAACTCTCTTTTCCAAAGATGAGTGATTTCTCAATCAGATATATTTATTTTTATTACTTTGTTGTTTCAGCAACATTAAATTTAAAAACTGTACTTTTGAGTTAAAATATATATTTATAATTTTAATAAATGACAAATTAAAAAAGCATGAACATTTTTTTGTATCGAAAAAATATCGAACCGTGACACCAAAGTATCGAACCGAACCGTGAATTTTGTGTATCGTTGCAGCCCTAGTATTTATGTATTTATATTTCGGTTTTAGGTCAATAATTGTTCTGTAATCTCAATATTGACCAAAATATTCTTCGTAGTAGTCTTTCTGATTTTTTTTGTTGGTTCCTGTTGTTCTGGTCTGAAGTCTTGTTTCTGCTTTGGCGTTTTGTCTGTACAGCTCTTCTTGTGTCATCGCACTCTGACTCTGTCAGCTGTGTGTTTGACTGTCTACCCTGCAGTTTACCTTTAAGCCTCGTTGTTCCAGCGAAGGTGGATCAAACTTAATATTCCAGACCTGCGTGGAGCCTCTGTCAAAACAAGATTGTGTTTCTGGATCACATAAATACTTTATGAGACCGCGTTTGCATTTACAAAGAGGTTGGAGTAAAAAAGGGAGTGCAGCTGGAGGTGGTTTATTCCAACTGTGTGACAGTGTGACAGTTTAGAGACTTGCTGCCTTTTTCATCAGGCTGGGCTGAAATTGATTTGTTAAGGCCCACAGTGCTGCTCTGACTGACACGTATAAGAATTTCTTTCTGTTTTTTTAGAAAGTGGAAGTTTTGCGAATGGAGTCGGGCCAGACTCTACATGCTCAGAATGCAAACTGGCCCAGCAGACAGACAGCAGAGAGAGCTCAACCTTTAAAGATTTCTCCTACGCACAATACAACAATAGCTCTGGTTACCTGGAGCGAGATGAGCTCTGTGTTCAATCATATGTAAAATACAAACATTTCCCTTCACAGAGCCACTTAGAGCATTCGCAGCATGCTTTATGCAGATCAAATAACAGACGAGTGTTTCTAAACTGTATCATAAGGCTCGGCTGATATAATATGTTCAGTTTACTGAGAGAAGATTTGGCTTCTTTCTAACCAATAGAATGTGAGGAGCCACTTGAATTTGTCAAGATTTTCTTTTATTATGTTGCCACAACCAGACGACGCCATCCTTTTCAGTTTGCTCCAATTGGATTTTGTTGGAAATTACTGTCATCATACATAAAATATATATATGTGTATCATAGAGTTTAATAACAGAAGGGGGAAGAGTGTGGAAGAGAAGGTGATACTTTAAGATGAGCGGAGCGGAAATGAGCCAGAGGTTTTGGAGAATAAAAACAAAGAGAGCTCCACTGGGTTTCGGATTCAAAGAACAAAAACAAAAATAAATAATATAAGTCACCATATAAGTATAATTTATGAACAGCAGATGTGGTGAGACAAACAACAGCAGAGAAATCGAGAGAAGCAGAGATGAAGAGAGAGGAAAGATGTCCACGGGGTAAAGAAGGAGATTGGATTGTCTTCAGTGTGAGATCATCAGTTTTAATAAAAGACTCAGCTCGCCCACAGGTGAGGAGGACACCTGGACACAATTAACCTCTGCAGCACTTTGAAACCTCGCAGTCCACTGCAGCCACTCTCCCTCCTTCACCTCTATTAAAAAGGCTAATGCTATTTTTTTGCTAGCTCGTGCTTTAGAAATCTTAATTCTCTTTGTTAACTCATTTTTAAATCCGCCCTTGTTAGACTCTAAATCCATGGCTCAGAGGAAGCCAACACATGAGACAGGAGTTCAAAGAATGGAAAATAAAAAATGATAATAAAATATTAACAATAAAAAATACACAAAGCACAAAAAAGGGAGACGGGAGTCAGAGAGACCAACAAACCCAGCGGTGAGCTGTTGGACTGAAGATCAAGCGAAAAAGAAACAAAAACTGGTTTGATTTTAATTTAAAAAACACATGAATTTGATTTAATTTTAAACACATATGACCTGCTAATGTAAACACAGTAAAGTTATAATGAAATTAGTCAATTACAGTTAAAAAGTCTCCCATGGAAACTTGTTCCTGTCACAAAACCTGCAACATTATCATTTGACCTTCAGATCAGACTTTGAAGGAGAGGTCAGAGGTCAAATGTGACATGATCATTTAAATCTATATGGTACTTCCTAAATGTTGACAATAAACACAACATGTTATGTCAGTTTTCGACCAATAAATCTTCAGGTTGACCTTGATGACCTCAGTGGACGAAGCTGTGATGAATTGTTAACGCGGCTCCTCGGCGTCCCTGCAGCGTTTTATCATAATTCATTCAAAAGTTTTCAGAGTGCGTTTAAAGACTGAATGCAGATACAGAAATGCTACCAAAAACATCAACAAACAGAGGGAAGAATGCAGAATGCTTGAAGACGTTCTCAGTCGCAGTCTGTCACCTCGGTCATGCTGTGAAGGAAGAGGGAGGGTAATGAGAATGATCAAAGAAACAATCATTTAGACGCAAACGTATCTCTGCATGTGGACACAAATTATAACCAAATCACTGAAGACATGCACAAGTCTTTTTGGGTTTGCAGAAACATCATTTTCCTATTTTTTTTTAAAGCAAACTCGAGGTCCTGTTAAATCGAGAAACCTCAGCAGTCACGTTATCCTGCTGTTACATCTACATGAAGTGATCCTGCAGTGAGCGTATGTGGTGCAACATGATTAAGAAGCAGCTACAAAAGTCCACACGTTTAATATTACAAAGCAAAACTGGACGATGAGCTGTGGAAACTATGGAGATTAGAAACAAGGAAACGGCAGAGTGCAGTTTCTCTGTTTGACTGGCAGCTGAACTTTGGGAGGTGAAATGTCACATCAGTGCAGAGAGACTGAGGATGGGGAAATGTCTAAATGTTAAAGTCAAACATTAACAGCTTTGCTTGTCTTTCAAAACTGTCCTGACTCTGGTCTTTCTGTGTTTACAGAGAACAGTGCCCACTGGTCAGAACAGCCTGGTTCTGCAGCCTCTGCTGTCAGACACAGAGTACAAAGTCTCCATCACTCCTGTCTACCCCGAGGGAGACGGACCGGCAGCGGCCGCGACGGGACGGACGCGTGAGTCATATTGATGCTGAGTTCGCTTGACTTTTGTTTCTTTCACTTTCTTTTCTTCACTCTCTGCTCTTTTTAAGTCGTCTGCAGTATCGTGTTTTATCATTAACCTGTGATCAGGACCTCAGAGCAGAGCTGGAGTTCCACTTGACACCAACTTATCTGCTGTCTAACACAAGCATACAAATTAGACCAGGAAACAGCGATACAAGAAGAAAGACATCTCTGCATCTCTACGCTGTTTACAGGATGGATGGTTTGGTTTACAGGGAGTCCTGCTCTAACGTTTGAGTCTGGAGAACAAATCCCAGCACATGCTCCTCCCCTCAGCCTGGCTCTGATCAGGTTTCTTCCTTCCCACTGTCACCAAGTGCTTGTTCATAGGGAATTGTTTGATTGTTGGGGTTTTCTCTGCACTGTTGTGGGGTCTTTGCTGCACAATATGAAGCACCGTGTGGTGACTGCTGTTGTGATTTGTTGATAGATGAGCTTATTTAAGACTACTAGATTTGGTTGTTATCATCACTGTCAGTTTGAGACACAGACTTTTGAAGGACAGCAGCAAGTGGTCAGACGTGAAGAATAACCACACTGGAAAACAAATATGTAACCTAGAAGGGACAGAACATTGTGGAACCTCTTAATATCATTTAGCTCTTTGAGTGTTCAGTCAAAAAGAGCTGTATCATCATTATTGTTGTTATTATTATTAGAACCGGTCCATTTACCATTTTATTCTTTCTTTTTTATGCTTATTTATTCATTCAGCAAGTTATTTGTATCATATCTGATCTTCTAAGCCAGTTGTACTCACATTTGTTCAGCTTCTTGTGTCTAAAAATACTGGCATAGTGTAGAAAAAGAAGAAACACATGGAGGAGAAACTTCATGTTGTCCTCCCAGCTGAGTGTAGGAGTAGTTTGTTATAGTTGGACAAATAACCCCGGCTGGGGTTTGAAAGTAGAGCTGAGAAGCTGCTGTGGATCAGAGTGCCACACTTGTGACCCTCCGACACTCTCTGGCATCTTTGCGCTCTGATCTCCGGCACAGTCCTGCTGCTGTAGACAGACTGAAGTATTATTGGATTTGTGCCGGGAAAATCTTGTCATGCCAGAGCAGACAGGAAGAAGGATGAAAGTGAACAAAGGCAAGAACGGGATGAAGAAAGGTGAAGGTGCTTGTTTTCCACGATGATCTCTTCCCTGCTGATCTGATAGAGGTTGATTTCTACATTCAGTGGCAGTTTTCAGGATTCCTCTTTCACCCTCTGTTTATTTATCGTTATTATTCCTTTTTGTCCTCTTTGAAAAGTGGAAACATCTCAAGCGAAAACTAACAGAGAAATGCCCTCAAAATCTGTGGATGTTATGTTGTGAGTATGACAGTGGCAGGATATGCTTCGAATATTAAATGATTAAATATGTGAAGCTAAAGTGAATCCAGAGTAAAGGCAACAAAGCACGTGTTCGACTAGCCTGTGTCCTCCTGACTTTAAAGTTTCTTTGCCACCACAGATTAAAAAGATGAGCTCTGCAGAAGACCGTCTGTCCTCACTGTGCCATCACGTTTTGTTGTTGTTTTAGGACCTGGTTTCATTTTTAGTTTCTCTTTCTTTTGGTTGGTTATGTTTACATTTATCATGGTTTGGATAAAGATACATCATTTGAAGAATAGTCAGTAGTTGGGGTACGATGCCGTCTTTGGTGATGTATGAACAGCTCTCAGGATTATGTTGCTTCCTTCAAGTCGTGCTGTTGCTGCTCCTGGTGGCTCCTGGATCTCCAGTGTGGTGAATGTTGACCTCGTGCTCCAGTCTCCGTTTAGCTTGGTCCCGACTCTCCAGTTTAATAACACAGAAGGCTTTTCACTGCGGGCCAGCAAAGCTGTTGCACACCTCAACAATGGCCAGGCTTTAAAAAATAAACGGCTCAGTGGTATAAATCACACAGAAAACAAAGAAGGACAGAAAATGTGTTGTCCTGTACATCTGCTGTCCATCTCAGCATGTTATAATATTACACTAAGTTTCAGTATATAATGATTTAATTATGCCAACAGATAACTCATTGAAGAAAGCCATATGTATTCATAAAATCATAAATATACCTCTCTTTTAACAAAGAATCAGTTCAGCATGATTCAAACCAAGTATGTGAAGCAAAGTTTGGATCTGAAAGGCCAAAAAGATTCTGGGAGATAGAAAATCCTCCAATCCTGGAGGTGTTGAGGGTCAGCGAGGACCAGGAGACAGGCCAGAACAAAGCAGCGCTGTGGTTTGCAATTAAAAGATAGTGGAAATGTCAATGTCATGTTCACAACCACAAGGGTGCAAAAAAGTGAGCATTTTCAGGATCAAACGTGGAAACGACTTCACTGATTTGGAAAAGTTTGCTAATGGGACCCATAACGAGGGGCTGGTGTCTCGGGTGTTTGTGCCTCCTGAGAGGGAGAATCTGTTGTGGGTGAGTTGAGGGTGAGAGATGCATTTCTGCCCACAGCGGCTGTCGCTTTCTTAAAGTCTCATTACTGTGAAACAAACACAACAATTTAAGCCGAGCAGCAAAGTGTTCGCCATTCATCTTGTTCAGGACGCTCAAGAAAATGTTGCTGGAAGCTGAATGATTGAGGGGGCGTTTTTCTTGCTGCCAACACGGGCAAAGAGAGGGTTCAATTATATTGTAAAGTTTAAATCACTGCACAAGATAAAACGTTGATTGATTTGATGAAATATGTAACAAGATAAAGTCTCTGTCAGTGCTAGATTCAAAATACTGGAGCCGAACCTTTATTAGAAATTAGGTGTGCGCTTCCAGTTTTGCTTTTTGTTGCAACTTTGCCTTCATTAACAAGTATTTAGATGAAAAATAGGAAGACGTACTTTCTCCCTAACCCAACCCCGGAGATCTCTGCAGCTCATTACACCTGAGACAGTTTCCCAGGAAGGAAAAGAGACGGCGGCCGCTCAGTGCTCAGCATCCATTTGCTTTACTGTGGAGCTGAAGACAGAAATATGCGGGAAGCATCTTTTCCTCTTTTGTTAAATGTGACAGAGCGCCGCTGCGAGTGCAGCAGAGGCTAATGATTTTCTCTGCCGCCAAGTGCATTACAGAACAAACACTCCACTTTTAGCGTGGAGGAAACTCTAAATTTAAGTCGTTCATCTTTCCGCTCCGTCCCATCATGTCTCCCCCGTGCGACGCGTTACACACATTAGCAGACGCTAACGACGTTCTCCGCTTTTTAAGCGGCGAGCCTGCGACACCCGCTGATGATGAATGGCTCCTGTTAGGTAGTGAGGGATGAGACGATCACCTGGGGAAGAATGACGGGGATTGCAGAGAGAGAGGAGGGGGGATGATTGCGTTTTTTAAGGTGGAGATAGATGATGTGACAAACGGCGCCCGTGTAATCTTGGGATTTGAACCTATGAGGGATGGGGCGAACGCCGAGGGAGGCATGACAGGGAATGCAGAGAGGATGATTGGGTTTTTAGCCCCAAACTGAAGATAGATAATGTGGCAGAAGAGGCAGATTAAGCTGCGTTTGATCCACTGAAGGATGGGCCAATCAGAGAGAGACGTGGGGGGTAATACAGAGAGGGCGGCGGGGAAACAAATATAATGTGATAGAAAAGTCACTACCAACTTGATGGCAAAGAGATTTAAGACCGAGAATTAGAAGATAATTGACTTTCATAGCCTCGGTGTGGAATATGTTGTGACGAGGAATGAATGAGGAATGAATTTAAGAGACAGCAGGGTGTTTTAATTTGTGCGATTTGGATTTTGAAGCAGCTTCGAATCTGTAAGAAGCACTAAAAAGCAAAGATTGTAAAGCAGCAGAATCACAGTCTGCAGTTCATTTTATTTGGAAAAATACCTTCAGACTAGAAGAGTCCTGCTTATCTTTTCAAATGAGGTGGTTTCAGGTCTTCTCATTAACAGAACATCACACAGTGTTGTTTTGTCAGAAGCCGCTGACATCACAGAGAAGCGGACATGTTTACTGTGGCGGCGATGCGGCGGTCTAAGCATTCGCAGCCTGTTAAACATCAACGCTGGTGCAGGATGCCTGCACTGACTGAGCCTCCCACAGCAACTTAGCTGATTTCAAACACAGCCAGACAACGGTGTGTTTGTCAGGTGACGAGTAAAGTTGGTAATTCCAG